ATTCTTTCCACCCTGTTCTTCAAGGGTGTCTTAAATATCCTTGGCCCTGTGGATTTCTGTATATGTTTTTGAATCAGTTTATCAAATTCCACAAAGAAAACTTGAGGAGTTTTCATTGTAATTGCATTGAATCTATACATCATTTGTCTCTTACAATTGTTGGTTCATTCTCCAGATGAAATTTGAAACTGGCCCCTGTACACGGAGGGCAGGGAGAGACAGAAGAAAAAGGAAGAACACTTCAGATTGGTAGATGGCAGTTTTAATAAGCAAGGAAACTTACATACAAGATTTGTCCTGGGCAGCCACAAGACTAATAGATCTCCACACCTGCCCACCAGAATCTTAAAAGTTTACATAGAGGCCTCTACTGGGTTCAGTTACATATTCATTCTGGTCTCAACAACACCTTCCTCTCTCAAGGCTGTGTTCTTTTTTTTTTTTATAATATGTTTTTATTGATTTTTTTGTTTTATTTTGTTTGTTTTTATTTTTTCTTTATTGATTAAAGTGTTACATATGTGTTGTTATCCCCTCATTGCCCCCAACCCCCTCACTCATGCCCTCACCCCCCTAACTATCATATTTTATATTGTATAAATTATGTACCACACACTTTCCTAAACACTTATACAAATTGATTTACTTTTTATTACAAACTTCTGTCTTAGGGAATATTGTCATCAGCCCCTGTAAACTCAGGAAGAGCTGGATCTCATCCCCCACTCCCAAGGGCTCCTAGAAAACAAAGATGTATCATGTGTGGCACTAGCCCACCTGTTACCCACAATTTCCTTGCACCCTGTTTTTCCTTTTCCAACTTATACATCTGTTCTTTCTGTAAATCCTCTTAGAAAAAAGAATTTACTGTCACTATATGTCTTTAAAAAGTCAGTGGGCATGCCACAGTTTCTTTCTTTAGATTTAGTAAAATAACTTAAGTATTAGATCAGTGCTGGGATCCCTTTAGACGTAGGGAGCAGGGTCTTCTTCCACATTATGTGCCATAATTTGTCTCTGGTTTCAGAGTCAGCTCTGCATATGCCCAGAATTGTGTGTGTGTGTGTGTGTGTGTGTGTGTGTGTGTGTGTGTGTGTGTGTCTCCAGTGGGGACCCTCACCCCATTGGGGTGTGGCCAGCCTGGGTGAGGGGCTGAGGGCTGTTTGCAGACTGGCCACGCCCCCCGGCGACCCAAGCTCCCAGCCTTTCCTTTTTTTCTTTTTTCTTTTTTTTCCAGCGCCTCCTTGAGCAGAGGCCAGGGCAGGCTGGAAGCAGCTGTCTGGGATTTATTTATCTTCTATAATTGAAACTTTGTAGCCTTGAACAGAGCCCAGGGCCGGCCAGGGCAGGTGGGAAGCTTGGCTTCCTCCATTGCCGGGGGCAACCCAAGCCTCCTGCTCACTCCAGCTTCGTGGCCGCCGCCATCTTAGTTGGGTTAATTTGCATACTCGCTCCTGATTGGCTGGTGGGTGTAGCGGAGTGGCGGAGTGATGGTTAATTTGCATGTTTCTCTTTTATTAGTGTAGATAATAACAGCCTAATATGCAAATCGACAGAATGATAGAACAACCGGTTGCTATGACGTGCACTGACCACCAGGGGCCATACATTCAACACAGGAGCTGCCCCCAGCCCACAGGCCCCAGGCTGGCCAAGGCGGGTACCAGCGGGGGCCCCACAATTGCCCTGCCTGTCACCCCACAGATTGGCCCTGATTGCCGGCCAGGCCTAGCGACCCTACTCATGCACACATTTTGTGCACCAGGCCTCTAGTATCCCATAAATGAGTGAGATCATGTGATATTTATCTTTCTCTGACTGGCTTATTTTACTTAGCATAATGCTCTCCAGTTCCATCCAAGGCTATGTTCTTGAAACAGCTCTTAGTGTGGAAATGGGCTAGATGTACATTCCAGTGATAGGGCAGGGAGGGAGGAATCTTGGACTACCTAGGTCCAGCTCAATTGTCAACTAGTGGTCATATCCTCCAGATGATCTCTTCCAACAATAATATTCGGTCTTCTAAACTTTGAACATAGTATATCTTTTCATTTGTTTATGTCTTCTTTAATAGTCCTTTTAAAAGTTTTATATTTGCTCTAGCTGGTTTGGCTCAGTGGATAGAGCATTGACCTGTGGACTGAAGGGTCCCAGGTTCGATTCTAGTCAAGGGCACATGCCCAGGTTGCAAGCTCGATCTCCAGTGGGGGGCGTGCAGGAGGCAGCCAATCAATGATTCTCTCTCATTGCTGTTTCTATCTCTCTCGCCCTCTCCTTTCCTCTCTGAAATGAATAAAAACACATATTTAAAAAAAACAAGTTTTATGTTTTCCTCCATGGAGTATATAAACTTCTCCCATTATGTTTGTTTCAAGGTTTTTCCAACATTTTATTATGAAATAATAAGGTGAAAGAAAAGGTGAAAGATTTTTACAATGTACAACCATACACCCACCACCTTAATTTTACCATTAACATTTCACTATGCTTGTTCTATCATGTATTTATTAATTTCTCCATCCCTCTATCTGTTCATTAATTCATATCATTGCTCACAACATTGTAGCTCTTTGATGGCTTTGAAAATATCTTTTCATATGTGTTGTCCACCTTTTTTATTTATCTTTAGATGGGTTAGTCTGAGTTACTTAGTCTTCTGTCTTCCTTTACCTGATGTGTAGGACCTTAAGCAGTCTTGACATAAGCTTTCAGGTGCGTGATTCAAAACTACAAAGTCAGGCTGGTGGAAAGATCAGGAGTGGTGTCTTGGATACACCTTATTTCCTAATTAAGTGCTTCCCTGTCTTTTTCTTGTCATGGTACTTATAGGACACATGGTAGTAAATGGGTAGGCTGCTTATGCCCAAAGATGATCAGCCTAGGGGCAGTGCCATACTAGTCCTGAGGACTGAGGACAATACCTCAGGACCCCTAGAGCCCAGAAGGGGCACACCTATGTAAAATGGCACATAATTTAGGAACCTCCTTCCTAGCTCTTCTCTTCTTCCTCCTCCCCAGTGCAGTGTTCTCCCCCTTTTAAGCTGTTCCCATTCAGGAGTCATTCCCCCACACCCACCCTCACATCCTGTCCTTGGGATGTATGCCTTCTTCCCACAGAATAATAAAGTCCCCGTTCTCCCAATCCCTTTTTGAGCCCTGCAAAATCAGCCATTCTGGCTTCCACTGGATACCAATAGACATCTCTCATGCCCAGTTGCTCTTGGCAATGCAGAGGGAAAGGGGTGAGTTTTGTCCCATTGATGAAAATGGGGTGGTGGGGGGGAAGCACTGCATGCTTCTCCCTGTTTTAAAGCACCTAAAATCAAAGACACCACTCCACTGCTTCACAGAGAGCCCTAGAACAGAGCAGTCTTCAGCACACTAAGAGGGGATCTATCAGATGAGGGTTTATATCTATACCAGATATATCTATAGCAGCAAACTTTTATGCAGCTACCACCTATAAGAGAATAAACATACATACACACATCACACAGCAAGCCAGGAGACAGGCCAACCTGAGCCCCTGCCAACAGAATGGTTCAGTCCACAAGGAGACACCACATGACCAGACTAACTCCTATACCCACCCCATGACTTAACAAACAGGATGAAGCCATGGACTACATGATCTATATCAGGGCCAATACAGGGCACCACCAGGAGACAGTCTCCTAGTAAGACTGGGCCTATGCCTACTGCATATACTGAGCATACCATGGGAAAGCCACCCTGAGGCTTAAACACATACCCTTGCTGTAACATAACAAACTGTATCATAGCCACTGCAGAAAACAGAACCCATGCACATTCGCTGTCCAGCACATCCAAATGCAGCCCCTGTTCCACAGAGGAACCATTTACAGGTCAAGAATAAGAACAGAATGAGATAGCCCCCAGGCAAACAACATCATCATGCCATCATTGATCATAGAACAAGCAATCCACACTCAGATTAGGGTTTCTGAAACACCCACTATTCAGCACCAAAGGTTGCTTTTCCAGCCCTCTCCTACTAGACCAGGTTGAGGGATCTGACAGTGGGTCCCAACGTTCTCTGTGAAGCTCTCTCCTCCCTCAGGCCCCTGGATTCTGTTCCTGCCTCTACCTACTTTCCCCCTCACCACTCTGCCATCCCATGTCCCTGTGGATTCTGTTTTCTGGGCCCTAGCAGACCTCCACCAAGATCCCCTTCTTTGCACAACTGACCTGTGAATCTCCTCTCAAGTGTCCCCTCCTCAACAAGCCCTGGCTAATCCCACCCTTGGACTTGCCTCTAGCACAGTGTGACCCTGTGTTCCCGGGCACACCTCAACCCCTCTAGATCTTAGGTCCCCACAGACAGGAAACCCCTGTTGCTTGCCTCTGGGTCCCCACGACAGGGTTCAATAAAGCTGGGCACCTCTCACGCTGGAGGGCTGTGTTTCTGAAAGCCTGGAGCCCTGAGACCTGCACCTGGGATTCCTGAACTCCCAGGAACAGGTGGGAGAGGAGACCCCAGCCTGGCCTGCCTATTGCTGCTGGAAAAGCAGCTGAGAAGGAGGGAGGGGCTGTTGAATCAGGCTCGCTCCCAGCAAATGGCAGCAAGGGCCACCTATAATGACCCTGTAAGGCTTCAGTAATTGTGTGTAGAATCTGCTGGGAAGTGTTGGTGCAGACTTAGTCATCATGAGAGGCATGAAGGGCCCTTGAATTCCCAATGTTAGTAAAGATAATCTGGCAGGCAGAAGAGAGGGAGGTGGCATCAGAGGCTTGTAGGGAGAAGTGCCCAGCTGCCACAGAATGAGCAGTAGTAGCCCTACGGTTTCAGGTCAAGTGCAGGGCTCCGATGACTTCTGGGCACTGAGCGGGGCCAGGCCCTTCCCTGCACTCAGAGCTGGAGCACTCTCCTCAGTAGTGGGTGATACACATTCCATCACAGGAGTAAGGAGGGTGGGCCTTCAGGGTGACCAACTTTCCCAGCTTTCCTGGT